ATATTAAAATGAAAAAATTACTTAAACTTTTTGAGCCTCATCTGTTAAACGGAGACAATAATATCTTGTGGAGTTGTGAGAATTAGAGGTAGATCCTTGAACAGGATTTGGCCAATTATAGAACACGTGACAATTATTAACATTATTAGCTAAAGAGCAAAGAGGTAACTGCTTGTTAGGAGGACCTGCGTGACTATATCCCACAGAAAGGGGGACAAAAATGTAGGCAAAGGAACCTCCAGAGTTAAAAAACATAGGCAGGACTTCCCTGGTGGCGCAGTGGTTAAGAATCTGCCTGTCAATGCAGGGGACACAGGTTCGAGCCCTGGTCCAGGAAGATCCCACATGCCGCGGAGCAACTAAGCCCGTGTGCCACAGCTGCTGAGCCTGCACTCTAGAGCCTGCGAGCCACAACTACTGAGCCCGTGTGCCACAACTACTGAGCCTGCACTCTAGAGCGTGCGAGCCACAACTACTGAAGCCCATGCACCTAGAGCCTATGCTCCACAAAAAGAGAAGCCACCACAATGAGAAGCCCACACACCACAACAAAGAGCAGCCCCCACTTGCTGCAACTAGAGAAAGCCCGTGCACAGCAACGAAGACCCAACACAGCCAAAAATAAATAAATTAAATAAATTAAAAAAAAAAAATGCATAGGCAAAATTTACATGTGAGGTCTGGCAGCCTGTCAAACTAATCTATCCCCATCTTGGTTTTCCCTTGGTGTTCATATAATAGGAAAAAAACAAGAACAATCTACTATTGTTTGGGACTCTTTTACCAATATGGACTTAAAAAGGAGGCGTCTCCTTTCCTTACCTGCACCTGTCTCTATAGGTCTGAGGTTCCTTCCAAAAGGGGCTGGTCCACAGGTCTGTTTCAGGCGCACTGAGGGTGTGTCACGTCCCATGCAGAGAGGCTGGGAACGAACGCTTTAAACTGCAGTTGGGAGTGATGGCTTATGCCAAGGTTTTCCTGAGACTCAGAAAGTAAAGAGGTGAGTACTTCTACAAGTGCGAAAGATCTGCCAGTTAGTAAGGCCTCTGTTAGGCGCCTTGCCAAGAGCGCTCCAAGCCTGATGCTGGCATAGAGCGAGTGAGCTTCCCAGCCTCCTTCCACTGCACAGCCGTAGACACGAGCATCTCAAATTTTCTGGACTAGGACCTGGATTCTTCTAAAGTAGGGGGATTGTTGCTTCCTGGCATCAGTGACAAAACTGGACTTTCACCAACTTCTGACAGGGGAAATCAGGCCCAGATTTATTTTTATTTAGAAAAATAGGTGATATTTTTCTCTCAAATGTTATTGTATAGAGCGGTAATAAGAAGGAAGAATGAGGGAAAGTTACATTTCCTTTTCAGATCTGCCTTTTGATGATAGACTATCAGTCCTGCATGCCCGTGCAGAAGGCGGCCTCATTCTGTTCTAGGTAAGCCTTCCTTGGGCAGAACGATCCTGTTCTAACAGGGAAATTCTTACACCATGGCTGACACTTTCTTAGCATCGGCTGTCCAGCAATCTCATCATTCTAGAACAGGGCTATGAATAGAAATGACTAAAAAGAACTTCTGAGTAGCCATAGACCAACTCTGTCCTTTATTCCATAGAAAATGCCCTCAAACCCTGAAGCAGAGTCACTCGATCGAGATAATGAGCAAAATTCTCTCACCCACAACTTTTATAAACTTGAAGTCTCAGGCACCTCAAGATTGTTGTGAAGATCAGGGGATAATCACAGTCCACTGGTCCCTTGTTACAAAATAGGTAAGAAACAAGAGATTGGGAAATAGAGAGGAAGTCGGATCTAAAGAACAGTTGATGAATTGGGAGACTGGGATTGACATATATACACTAATATGTATAAAATGGATAACTAATAAGAACCTGCTGTATACAAAAATAAATAAAATAAAATTCAAAGAAAAATTTAAAAATAATAATAATAAAGAACAGTTGAGGTATGGGACTGCCATTGAAAAAAGTAGGCAGAGAAACTACACATTGGTGCCAGTGGAAAGCCGTCTGTGGAAGGTGGAGTTGATGATGGTTACAACTGAACAGCCCAGTTTTATCAAAAACGATGGTAGCAGAAGTGAAGAAGCACAAAATGTGGAAATTGTTTGCTAATATAAGGGATGAATCGGAGATGGGAGAACTGTAGCATCAAGCCCTCCAGAAACCATTACACAACAGGCTCACAATCTTTTAACCTCAATTCCAAAATCCTTTATCCTCAATTCCAAAGCCCCAAAGTTCTGGACACTAAAAAATAATTCTTAATAACTGATTTGGTAACAATACCTGACCTGATCTAAAGTCTTTTGTGGCAAAATCTGCCCTGAGCTATGAAACTATGCGTAATTTTTAGTTACCCACTTGGTGTGACTATTCATATGTTTCACTGAAGAAATATTAAAGTATATGATTCCTGGGAGCTGTTCTAGACCCTGCTGGAGACATATTTTCTGGAATTATAGGGTTTAGATTACCTTTCTAAAACCAAAACAATCTGAGTTTACAAATACATAGCATCAGAGAGAAGAGGAGATCAACAAGACTTACCCATGAACATGACGGAGAGGAAGAAATTTTGTTTCTGGTTTGGGTTTAAGACAATAAAGATTATCACTATCCAGAATGAGGAAGAAGGAGCTCCCAAAATTAAGGAAACTTCCACTGGAGTTTAGGAATTTTCCAATTCAAATTATTCATTTTTTTAAAAACAGTGTTTAAAGGCATCATTATACATATCTAGAAAACCATGTCTGGAATATCCCAAACCTCTTCAAAAGCAGATAAGTGAGAAGGAAAACAATGCCTTATATCACTGTAGTGCTTTAGAACTTACAGAGTACTTTCCTATAATTATTGCACTGAGTCCTCTGAACCACAAGGCATTTTTGTATGCATGTGCTCACACTTAGCTAAATCTTAATTTCAAAAAAAGCATTCAGTTTATTTTTACATATGTTTCAAAAAATATATTCAATACCAGAAAAGCCTCTCTGTTCAGAGAAAGGCTTGATATTCTGGGAAAAAGCATCTACAGAGCCACACTCATTCTAATTAGTTGTCCTTCCACATCAATATGAAAAATGTGGAAATCTATACTGAATTTATCAAATAATACTGCACTATGGGACTGCTGTAAAAAAAAGGGGGGGCAGCCTGTACCTCTCTCCCTTCAAGCGTTCTAACAGTATGGTTTGACCATTATTTTCTTTTCAATCAGTAAACTTTTCTCCCTTCTAAACAAATGCACCACGATCTATAATCATGTACCTGTTAACCTCAACTGTATTTACATCTCAATCTCCTGAGTCAATAACAAATACAGTTGTTCCATTCTTGATTGAATTTTTCTTTCTAATGCTGTGTTTATCAGATGGTTCGATGGCACTTTGCAGTGCCCTTGCTAACTGTAGATGCAAACTATTTCTCTTGATTAACCAGCATCTCTGTAAAGCTCATGTTAAAATGGCATACATGTTGCATAAAGGAAGAGAAATGTGTCCTTGGTAAAAGTTGTCAGTCTTACCCGTAACTTTTAAAAAACTTATGCGAGTAACATAAAGCTATACTGTTGTTGTAAAAGATTCAAATATACAGCCGCACACAGCAAAATGGGAAGGTTCCTTTTACAGCTGTTGAGGCTCTCCTACTTCACGCCATTGACAATAGTTTTGTGCAAGTCTCCACGCCCTCCACACCTGTTCCTACGCTCCAGGAGTAGTTCAAAGGGAGAATTCAATTGTTTTTCCTTTTATATTTACATTTAGAGAGAGAGAGAGAGAGAAAGAGAAGAATACATTTAATATCTTCTCCATCAGGAAATACCGTTGGCTCAATCTTCAAAATATATCCATCACCCCACACTGCTACCATCTTTGCCCAAACCATCATCTGTCACCTGGATGACTGCAATAATCTGCTTCCTGGTCTCCTGGCTTCTGTTCTTACCCCACCCTAAATATCTGTTCACACACAACAGTGAGAGGGATCCTTCTGGAAACAGTCTTCTGCTCTCAAGTGTCCAATGGCTCCCCACCTCATGCAGACTAAAAGGCCCAGTCCTTTGGGGCCTAGAAATTCCTGTACAATCTGCCCCAGCCCTGACTCTCTGAGCTCATCTCCTGTAACTCTCCTGGCTCTGTCCAGCGACACTGGCTTCCCTGCTGGTCTGGGTCCGAATCCACTTAGGGTCTGAATCCATTTAGGGTCTCCAGAATAACGTATCTCCGCCAACACCTTGATGTTAGCCCTGGGGGACTCACTGCAGATGTCTGACTGCCAGAACAGGAAAATAATAAATTTGTGTTGTTTAAGCCACTAAATTTATGGTAATTTGTTACATAAGTAATAAGAAACTAATACATAATCTGCCCTTCATTTCATAGTAGTCATAAAAAGCACTCCTTCTACACACAAGTGGTAAAAGTGCTTCCAGCTGCAAGGCTGAGATGAGGAGGAGAGTCTCTACACACAAACCAGCATTCTTCTCAACAGTCCACTGTTAACTTATGCATAAGAAAAGACAAGTTTCTCGGTATATTTATTTACTCTCTTGCTAACCTAACATGCAGAAGAACAATTTATTCAAAAAGGTTCAAGAGTCAAGAGAATAAAAGACCTGGCTGGGCTTCCCTGGTGGCGCAGTGGTTGAGAGTCCGCCTGCCGATGCAGGGGACACGGGTTCGTGCCCCGGTCCGGGAAGATCCCACATGCCGTGGAGTGGCTGGGCCTGTGAACCATGGCCGCTAGGCCTGCACATCCAGAGCCTGTGCTCCACAATGGGAGAGGCCACAACAGTGAGAGGCACTTGAAAAATATAAAGAGGTAAAACTAAAGGGCCAGTAGAGGAATACTGACCAAATACTGAAAATGGAATACTGAAAAATATTTAACAAACCCAAAACAAATCTAGAAAGAAGACTTAGAGAAATAATAAAACAGGACAAATAGAAAATAGATAGCTAAAGACCAAAATCTAATCACATCAATACTTACATTAAATATAAATAGACTAAACCTTCCAATTAAAGGACAAAGACACTTCATAATGACAAAGAAGGTGTAATAATAATATCAGGAAAGTATAATAATAAGAGATGCTTACATGCTTAATACCAGAGTTTCAAAATACATGAAGCAAAAACTGACAGAACTATAGGAAAAAATAGATAAATCCACAATCATGGTTATACATTTAAACACTCTTTTCTGAATAATTAATAGGACACTTTTAAGACTAGACAAAAGTTAGTAAAGATATGTAATATCTGAACAACATTATCAACTAACTTGACTGCATGAATATTTATAAACTGTACAATCAACAACCCAATGATACATATTATTTTCAAGAGCAGATGGAATATTCATGAAGATAGACATTATGCTGGGTCACAAAAATGTCTCAGTAAATTTCAAAAGATTGCAGTTTTTCACAGTATGTTCTCTGACTGCAAGGGAATTAAACTAAAAATCAATGACAATAGAGAAGATGAAAAGGAGAATTACAAGTACAGAAAGGGGAAAAGACTAGACCTATGATGTCGGATAGGAATTGGGGATCTCAGTATGAACCCATTAATTTTAATATGTATAGAGAAAAATATAGAAATAAATATAGGAATATATACATACAGGAAAGTGTGTGTGTGTGTGTGTGTGTGTGTGTGTGTGTGTGTGTGTGTCCTAGTTTGGTCTCCTGAAAGGACCCAGAAGCTATTACATACTGGAAGCAACAAGCACACTTAGCTCCCAGATCTTAGTTTATAGATACAGGCCTCCTTGGAGAAAAGTCTAATTCTAGCTCTGGGACAGGGATAAGCCTATAACATCTTGTTACTCCAGAAAGTAAGGAATTGCTTAAAGACTGATGGGAACATATCAAAAAGACATGGGAGCTGCTTGCAAAATCTGGCACAATTCAAGCATTAAAATAAATAATCTTAGTTGTGGATTACATAATCCACTGAAAAATAAAAATTAATGAGTACAATATGATAAAAAATAGTGAATGAATGAATAAACAAACAAATAAGGGAGAAGGGAAAGCTTTTCTTTACAGTAGAATGCCACCTAATAAATAGAGAAGAAATAAGAGAGTTAGAAAAGCATCAGTGAGTACTAAAACTAGAGACTAAAAGCTTAATAAGAGGAAAGCTACTCTGGTGGATGCTGTGATGTGCCTCTCAGATCCTACTTCAGGTGTGAAGGACTTTTTACCCCAGCTGCTGGAGGTCTGTGAGCAGGCCCGACTCCAGCTGTCAATTAGCCCTTTTTGGAAACTGCTCCAACCAAAGAGACCCATCTCACCCAAGGTCATACTTTTTATTCTGGGCACCTGACAATCAATATCTACTCAATGCAAGTGTATAAAAGCCCAGCCCTCTCATCAACTCAGGACAGCACTTAACAGTCATCCCATCTTCAGAATATCCTGTAGGATCCACTGAGGCCCATTTGAGACTGCACTGCAGTTTGACTTCTCTCTGCCCAGTCCTGTATCCTTCCCTTCCTTTCCACAAGTATTCTCCCAAGAGCATTCTCTGTTAAACTTTTGCAGGCTAGTGTCCATCTCAGAATCTGCTCCCTGGGGAACTCAATCTTTGACATTTACATAGTCACAAGGCATACATTATTTCTTAATTACAAAGGTAAAATTATTAACTTTACAATCGAGAAACTTGGAGAACACCAACTTAACGACATGATCAACATTAATCACTGATATTGGAATAAACAAACACTATGTGCCTCTGTGCCTTCTGGTATGATGCTCTGAGGATACAACATTATTTCAGAGTTCTGCTGAAAATAAGAAGAAAAGAAGCCTGAGTATAATCATGAGATATCATCAAAAAATCAAAATTACAGGATATTCTAAGACTAAAGTAACTGGTCTGTATTCTTCAAAAGTATCAGGATCAGAAAAGACAAACCTAAGGAACAGCTCTAGATTAAAGGATACTACAGGGATGTGGCAGCTAAATGCATGATACTGGATTGAGAGGAGTAGATACACACTCACACACACACACTCACATACGTACGTGCATACACACTTTGAATAATCAAAGGGAAAACTGACAAAATTTAGATGTGAACTGTGGATCAGTTAATAGAGTTATTATCAGTGTTAATTTCTTGATTTCAATAATGGTACTAGGTTATTTCAGAATTTAAGTACTAAGTGTCCTTGATAAAGCAAAAGGAGTAAATGATACACAGGGGTTTCTCATATTAATTTTGCAATTTTTCTGTAACTTTTAAATTATATCATAACAAAATATTACCCAAAAATGAATATCCCAAGTTGCTAAAATTCTTGTAAAATCTCTTCTGCCACTTTTGCAATGCACCTCCTTGAGACTGGTTTCCCCGGCATGGTGCCATTAAAACAAAACGTAGAAATAGTTTAGACATCCACTATCCCCTGTGGGTAACACGGTTATCAATTCCTAGATTAATAAGGTAACAAACAAGAAGCAAACTCACTTGCCACATTGAAACTTTTAGTATTGATATGCATTGTGTTCATTCAAAGTATGCATATAAGCATTTTATATATGGAAATCACTATTTGATTCAACTTTTTTTTTTTTTTTTTTTTGCGGTACGCGGGCCTCTCACTGTTGTGGCCTCTCCCGTTGTAGAGCACAGGCTCTGGACGCGCAGGCTCAGCGGCCATGGCTCACGGGCCCAGCCGCTCCGCCGCATGTGGGATCTTCCTGGACCGGGGCACGAACCCGTGTCCCTTGCATCGGCAGGCGGACTCTCAACCACTGCGCCACCAGGGAAGCCCTCAACTTTTAATTTACTTATGATTGTGGAATAAAAAAAAGTTATTAGTGATTCTCTCTATTATCCACCTATAGCAACATTCAAAAAAGAACATTTTTCATGATTATTTTCTTTTGGGCTCTTCGTTGTTCTAATTATATTTACTGAAATGTAATTTACATCATTGAATATAATAATTAAAAATTGGACCATGTATTTTGGCCTTTGTGGGTTTTTTGGTCTCATTTTACTAGAAAGTCATTTTTATTATATTGGTCAATGACACTGGAAGTTATATATGCATAGTTAACCACAGACAGTTTCAGAGGTACTGGTTGGTTAAAGGGCTGATTAATGCATAAACAAGCCAGCCTCTCAGGGGTATTTGCTTTCTGAAAGGACCTGATCTCATTCACCAAAAGGACAAAGCATCCAATGAATTGGTAAGGATTTTTATTTGTTTATTTGCTTGATTTGAACAAGTATCCCCACTATAACTGAATTATGCTGTCAGTAGTGTCCATTTTAAAGAGTGGTGCTAAAAGAGCTCAAATGTGTGGGTTTCATGCTTTTTTAAAAATTAATTAATTAATTTTATTTATTTATTTTTGGCTGTATTGGGTCTTCATTGCTGCACACGGGCTTTCTCTAGTTGCAGCGACTGGGAGCTACTCTTCCTTGCGGTGCACAGGTTTCTCATTGCGGTGGCTTCTCTTTGTTGCGGAGCACAGGCTTAGGTGCATGGGCTTCAGTAGTTGTGTCACATGGGCTTGGTAGTTGTGGCACACGGGCTTAGTTGCTCCACGGCACGTGGGATCTTCCTGGACCAGGGTTCAAACCCGTGTCCCATTGCATTGGCAGGCGGGTTCTTAACCACTGTACCACCAGGGAAGTCCCGGGTTTCATCTTTGAAAGGATCAGCTACCCTTGCTCACAGAGATATGTTCAAGACCACAAAATGTACGCACACCTCTACAGCCACATGCAGTTATTATCAGGGGACTGTATACTTAGCTCAGTATTTGGGGGCCTGAGGAATGGGAAGTGGGGTACTGTTCAGAGGTTAAAATCATAGACTATTTAAATCTACATGGAAATTTATTTTTAATTTTGTTTAACTAGAAAAAGTCTTTTCTTGCGAGTTCTCATTAAAAGCCTTAAAACTCTTAAATCTAGTGGTACTGTGCTAGGCCTTTTCCCTGGCAAGCTAAACCCAGTGGAACTGGGTATTGTCTAAGGACACTCTGGGTATTATCCTATTTCATGGGGATGTGCATCTGTGATTGATATTCTCTTGACTACACTGTTTTACAACCCTATAGAGGTAGAAGTTAAATTATAAAAAACTTATAGCAATGCAAAGAATTCCAGTTAATAGCAATGCAAATGATTTCTGTTCATAGTAATTAATATGAATTGATTTTATCTAGCAGAAAACATAAATCTCTGTAACTCAAGCTCCCATTTGAACAGTTTTAACATCTTACTGGTCCCTCATTTAATGAGTTGAATAAAATCTTTGATTCATGTGCAGTTTTTATTTGTATAGGAATCATGCACATAACCTTCTTAAAATTACACGGGAAGTACTATAAGGTAACAAGTGTTTCCTCTAAGGAAACCAAGGACAGCAGCATGGTTGAAAGAAGAGGGAGGGGTGACACATTTAACAGTAACAAAAACAAATTTCCATGCAGAGAAGTTAGGCTTATTGAAAAGGCTGAAACAGCCTAAGCGTGTGTTGATCAAAGCCCCCAGATGAGGATGTAAGTCCAGAAAAATAAAAAGTGAGAAATATTTGTGAAATTCTGTGAAAAAAAATGCATCATGACTTGGCAATTGATGGGGGAGGTATTGGTAGAATCAAAAGCAGTCAAATGTAAAATTGCTTGGAGTTTCTTGTTTGAGAAATGGGTGATACTATGGTATTGAAAACTAAGATAGAGACCTCAAATGATTAAGGGAATGTAAAGAGTTAAGGACTTTATTAACAGAAAAAGATTATGATTGGGTCTAATTCCATGGGAAAATGACCAACCCTAAACTAGATCAATATTTCCCAAACTGTGTTCCAGATGACACAAATCTGTCAGAATGCTCTGCGACAAAAATGGTACCATAGCTCTCAATAGGAGATTCATAATGCACACTAGCACCTTAACTTTTCAGGGAAGCCTCCCTTGTCTAGCCTACCATTCACATAGTTAATCATAGAAACATGAATCTAAATAAAATCCTATGGAATTAGAGTTTCTTAACGTCACTTTGAGAAATGTGGGACCACATTTATAAAGAAAGTCTGTTTATTAACCAAGTTTTATCAAGTGATAATAAAATTTAAAGTGAGATATAAATTCTATGTCAGCTCTGACTTCACCTAAGTGTATTCCTGAAACATCCTAGCCTATAATTTTATATAACTGGTTTGTGAAAATACCAGAAATCTGTCAGATTTGCAGGAATAGTCTTTTCTATACCAGGCAATCCAAATGTAATAATAAAATTATCACTGTTTTCCTTACCACTTATAATAAGTTCAAAATGGTCCTGGCATTTTTCTAGTTCTTTCATTTTGAATCAGGTTTCAATCTATAAAAATCTCTCCTATTCACACGTCTTATTCTCCTATTATTCTTATTCTCCACTCAGCTATTTTACTCACAGTTTTAAAAACTCCTCTCTTCTTCCCTTGTTGATCCCAATAAAAACATTTTTAGAACTGGCTCAATCCCCCTGTTTCCTACTCACAACATAATGTTCCTAGAGTGTTTATATAACATTGTTGACTTCCATATTCTATGGTTTAATTTAGTTGGAGGTAGACTGGAAAAAATCAGAATTTAAAAGAATCAGGAGATACTGGCTATGTCTTCTCAAATTCAACTGAGCTAGTCTGGGCTGAAAGCAATGGTCATTTACAAACACTTATCAGGTTTCATTCTGTGGGATTGATTTTGCCTTTCTTGTAGATCTTGGTCTGCTCCAAGCTAATACATACTAATAGAAAGATAAAATTCCAAACACAGTAATGTTTCAAAAATATGTATTTCAGGATGTCAACCTAGGGTTGCTAGATCTATCACTGTTATAAATGCAAAATGTTAAAATGTGCAAAACTTTCTTCTACAGATAGTTTTGTGTTATAAAAGAATCTATTAGATGTTTTATTAAATACAGTTTATGAAAACAAAATTAGATTAAACCTAAAATAAAGCCTTTTATTAATCCCAAATTCCTATATTCTTTTGCCAGGCACAGAAAGGTGAATAGCAAAATAACTCACACTGTAACTTTTTAAAATTATTTTTTCATTGGCGTATAGTCACTTTACAATGTTGTGTTAGTTTCTACTGTACAGCAAAATGAATCAGCCATAAATATACACATATCCCTTCCCTTCTGGACTTCCTTCCCAGTCAGGTCACCACAGTGCATTAAGTAGAGTTCCCTATGCTCAACAGTATGTTCTCATTCCTGTGCTCCACAACGGGAGAGGCCACGGCAGTGAGAGGCCCGCGTACCGCAAAAAAAAAAAAAGAAAGAAGGCCAAGAAACCTGGTCCGTAACAAAATAACCTATCAGAAAAATTAAATGAAGTTCTCTCTTAAATAGTAGGATTATTGGTGATTTAATTTTTATTAATTTCTATATTTTAAGTGTTCTTTTCAAATATATATTTGTATTAATATAATCAATACTGTATTTAATAATATAATTGAAATTTATTAGACCTTGGGATGAATCTAACTGAAATCATGAAAGTGGGAATACGTAATTTTTACTTTGTGAAGCTTTGAAGTTAGTGAAAGACAGGTAAGGTGAAAGTGGTATCAATTTGGGGATGTTGAGATATTAAGAGAGGAGAACAGCCTTTTGGCTCTCATGGTTTTCTAAGCCAGATGTTTGAGAGATTCATTTTTCAGATGCAGGTCTTAAAAGTTGGAGAGCCTGAAGCAGGGGATAACCCTTCATTCCTGGGGAGAAGCTCAGGGTCTGTGAGGTCCCTTGGGATTGCGGGCTGCCATGCCAGGGGTTGGGTTTATGGCGAGACTCTGTCTCAGCCTTTCCTACCTGCTTTGATGTGTTTGCTGATGTGAAGGAGTTACTCAGCTAATTTTCACGTCTTTTTCGGAGTGAACTGTACCATAAGTAGCTGTAGACTTGGTGTGTCTCTGGGAGGAGGTGAGTTCAAGCTCTTCTTATGTCATCATGTTGAACTGCTTTTCAGAGCCTACATATAAATGAAATCATTCACTATTTGTCTTTGATTTATTTCATTTAGCATAATGTCCTCAGGTTCATTCATCTTGTAACAAATGGCAAGGTTTTCTTCTTTCTTAAGGATAAGAAAGTAATATCCCTAAGTAATATCCCATTGTGCAAATATACATAAAATCTCACATTTTTCATCCATTCACCCATCGATGGACACTTAGGATGTTCTCATGTCTTGTCTATTGTAAATAATGTTGCAATGAATATGGGGGGGGTGCATACTTATATCTTTTCAAATTATATATTACAAAATTATATATATAATATTGAAGAAACAGAAATTTATTGGAGCTATATATTATAATTATATTTATGTTGAGTAAAATAAATTTTAAATTTTACTTCCGGTTATCATCACACTGTATCAACACAAGAACCTTTCAGGAAAAGACTTGATCTCACAGTTCTTAGGCTAGTCTGCACCCCAGAGCAATCAATTTATTAAATAAATCCCCTTTAAGCTTCTCCAAATATTTCCTATCAGTTCTAAATAACTTGCAAACTTGAGTATTCTATTTTAGTTGTGAAACTCAGTTTGAAGAAAATTCCATTTTCAGTGACTTGTATTAAAAAATAGTACACCGCACGGAAGAGTAGCCCCGGATCGCCGCAACTAGAGAAAGCCCGCAGGCAGCAACCAAGACCCAACGCAGCCAAAAATAAATAAAATAAATTTTTTTAAATAATTAATTTAAAAAAATAGTAGAAAGTAAAATGAATTTTTCATTTCAATGCTTCCTCAGAATAAAAATATTATTTTGATTAAATAAATGCTACCTTCAGCCCGAATTCCAGTCGATCCACAGCTCCACAGATTAGTTCAGTCCATAGGTCACTATGGCCAAATAGGCCTGGGCCATGGGGACAAATGCTGACAGGTAGTCTCCTGAGTGGCATCTATATTTATAACATAGGTTCCAATAGAGGTCACTTACCCTACCACTCCTTTCAGAAGATCGGCCACATCATTTGCAGGGCCCAGTGCAAAACGGAAGTATGTGGGCCCTTTCAGAATTTATTAATAATGCGGCACAGGAAAGAAACTAGGACCTCAGAGTCCTTCTGAGGTCCTGTTCCACTGGGCAAGTTGCATGCCCACAAAACCAGCCTTGTCTTTCAGAAGATGTCATTTACAATATGTCTATCTAGCTGTTGGTTAAAAAAATTTTTTTTGGTAATCATGTTTAATTTTCTCAACAGGCAAAGTACACTAACAATTTCGTTACATCAAGCAACAGAAGCAAAAGGGCAAGCATCTGTTGTAAGTCAGCAACCAACAACTGCATTGCTCAATTCAACCAACATTGAGAGAAGGGAGAAAAGAGGACACTGGGGAGGGAAGCTTCTACTATGTTTCCAGCACAGATTTTTAAATGGCTCCTATTTCACTCCAGCTACCAAGTAGGTGAACTGGAACGACTGGGGAGGCGAGGGGGAGGAGATTTGAAATTATGTCCTGGTTTCTAAATAACTTCAAAAGACTACGTGGAAACATTTTCCACGAGTTAAGCGGGGCCAGAGCTCACGTTCATTCAAGGCTGGGCCTTCTCCCGCGCCCGCTGGTAAGAGTCTGGGCCAAGGCGGCTGGCGGCTCCCTGACGTAGGACTCGCGTCAAGTAAAGGACCAGCCGCCCACAAAGCGCTGCGGGGAAGTGCGAGGCGAGGGAGGGGGCGGGGACAGTGGGGGGGCGGGGCCGATGAAGGGCGGGGCTGAGGAGAAGGGACTCGGGAGTTAGGATCCAGGAGTGGGCGGGCCTAGAGGGGGCGGACCCTAGAGGGGCGGGGCCGAGGCGGTGGCCCTGGCGGCCATGATGAGGCCCCGCCTTTCCCTTACGGCTGCTGCTCCACTTCCCTACGCGGCCCGAGGTAAGACTAGGTCTGGACAGAGGCCCGGATGTCCTGGGCCCGTCTGGGTCTCGTGCTGCCCCGGTGACACGGCGGGGCCCGATCGGGGCGCACGCTGAGGCCTGCGGCGAGTCGCGTGGGTGCGATCGCGAAGAACGCGGACCCGGGCCGAGAGCGCGAGGAGCCGTGGCAGGAGGCCGAGGGAGGGGCGCTGAGCCGAGGACTTTGTCCCGAGGCTCGGCCTCTTCCCGGATCCCTTTTCCTCATTGAGCTTCCAAGAATGTGTAACTCGGGGCGCTCGGGCGTGCGGTCTCTGAGGGCATCTGCCGGTTTATCAAATACCCCACTACGTTTGCGTAGCTGTTCCTGCGTCCGGTGGATGGGTACCTCGCTCATGGAGGAAACAGACCCCAAAGCGTTCGCAGCCTCCACGGGCGCCTGGATCAGGGGGCCGGGCACCTGGGGATCCCGCTTCTCCGCACACGCTTGCAAGCACTTTGGAAGGCTGATCGTATTTGTAAATGCGCTGTCAGTTGTGTAGGGGTCTGGCGGTCGTCTGTGACTGGGTCGTCAGGGCGATGGCATTTGCGCGGACCTTGGAGGGCATTCGAGGTTGCAAGAATAATAATAGCTAACATTTGTGTGCGTATCATGGCCAGCAGTGTTCGAAGTACGTGAATTAACTCAGTCCCGGGAACAACCCTATCAAACTGATCCTTTTAATATCCTTACTTTACAGATGGGGAAATGAGGCATAGAAAGATGACATAGTTTGCCCGAAGTCACGACCACTACCAAAGAACTACCGTGTATAGTACGTGATGAAGCCAGAATTTGAACCTGGAGGGTCTGGCTCCACAACCTGCTCTAAAACCATTGTACCTTGGCACCCAGTAGAAACATCCAGGCTATGCTAGAATTATACATAATTGAGTTTGACTAAATTAAGATAACAGAAAACAAGGCCAGAAAAATACTGTGGGACCACTGAAGACAATTTTGAGAGCTAAGTTAAGGTGCTTGGAGTTCATGGGTGCTATGTTTTTCCCCAGGGTGGATTAAAAATTCATGTATGGACAAGCCATGTGAATTATGAAGGAAAAGCGATTATGCATAGTACAGTTAATAATGTGACCAAAGTATATATGGAGTTCTGTTCATCCTTTTTGTCAGTTCATAGTTTCAATTTTGTGAAGTTTTAATGGCATCAAGCTTTTAAAAAATTGCATAATTACTGACACTATCTTCCATTTCAATGATTTATTGGTTTTCACCTACTGCCTTGACAGCAGAGTGGGATTAGTTCTGGACACCTGTAGCAGCATCCTGGAAGTGGGCAAGCATTTTTCATCTGCTAGTTAATGTGGGCAAGCTAACCATGTTTTAAAATTGACAATGTGCTTAACACTACTGAACTATACACTTAAAAATGGTTAAGACAGTAAAGTTTATGTTATGTGTTTTTTAATCACAATTTTTAAAATAAAATTAAAAATAAATTTAAATGACTAGTAATTCCAAGTAGACCATGTTAGGCCTGAAGATGTGTCGTGTATAGGGATCCATTGAGCAGTAAGTTAAATGGATTAAAGCCCTAGGCCTCCAATGCAGGATTGATTTCAGTGAGACACACAAGAAGGAAACAAAGTAGGAAGGAAAATTTAATTTCTTGTGTATAATTAGGATGGTGGCAGTGGGAATTCAGAGACGGGGTAACTAAGACATTTCAAATGTAGGTTGGGCAAGACAGGCATAGATGAAAAGAGAAGCAAAAAAAGGAATAGAAACACTTGGTTTGAAGGTAGGAGACAGAAGCTTGACTTTAGATGCGTTGAGTTTTACTAGCCTGTGGCACATCCTGTGAGAAGGGTCCAGCAAGACATTTAAATTCTGGCACCAATGCCTGAGAACGATTGAATCAAGAGAGGCAGATTTATATTGTTTCAACGCAAAAATAGAGGGGAAACTTAGGGAATGGAATCCTGTTTTTTCATGGAGGAGAGAATTTGAACAAGGAAGTGATGGTCAGCAGTTTCATAATCGGGTGATGTTGGGAAGACCTGTGTAGGTCATTGAGAGCCAGTGGGGTGGGACACATTGCAGATGGAGAAATGGATCAAAGTCCATGAGAGAATGAGAACAAAAACCCAGGTAGAGATAGATAGAAAACTTTTGAGGCTCATGGAAAGAAGGAAAGAATGGGTGAAATACAAAGAACACAGATTGCTGGAGATAAATAACACTTAACTTCAATAAGGGAAGAAAAGTAAGATTTGACAGTTTAGCCTTTTGGGGAAATGGATGCTTTGTGAATAAAGATGACTTTGATACTTTTTACCTCATTGGCTTTCCATGTACCATGCATTGAGAGAAACTTTGTTCTCTGAAGAATATTGATGTACATTTCGTTGACTTTCTAGGAAGACTGGCACTGTGAAATTTTTTTTGCCTTTGTTTTTGGTTTTTCTTGGGCGAGGGTGTTTTTTATTATCCTATTCTACTCTGTAATTTCGTTTCTCCCCCAAAATATGTTCTAGAACCGAAATGAAATGTGTCAGACAAATGACACATTTGGTGTCATTTGGTGCACACTACTACGTACATTTCTATTTATTTGTTTGTTTATTTCTGTGTATCAGTAACTTCACCATCATTCATAAGCCCAGTCAGTTTTCTCACCAGTTCATCCTTTCTAGCCAGTCAGCCCAGTAGTCCTTAAGCCGTCATCTCTTCCCTTCTTTATCCTCCCCGCATTGCACGTTTGACCTACAACTCTTAGCTGATGAGTCTAGGCTTCTTTTTATCTTTCTCTACTTTTCTAGTCTCCACTCCTGTTTTCTTCACTCTCAGCAGTTGACTGTATCTCGTACTTTCAAATTACAATCTAAACCTTTTTCTATTTATTTAAAAGAAAAAAAAAACTTTCTTCATAGGACTCTTATTCCAGGAGAAGTTTTTAACCAAACACAAGGCCTTGTGGCAAAATAGGTGTTAAGGTACTTAGATTATGGGCCGAGGTAAAGCGATGGTGCTGTCCCATCAGCTGCCCTTTTGACACTGCCATACCCAGAGTAGGTAGTCATCTACCTCACAAGAGGAAAATGTCTCTGTTGAGAATGTGTAGTGTACTATACATGTCTGTATAACCTTTGTTGTGAAAAGTATGTCCCATTTCTACACCATTTGATCTTTTTTTCAGGATCATCTACCCTTTGGTGCAGATAAAAAAGCAAGTAGCAATTGGACAGGTACATTAAAGTTTTATTTTTATGTATTACTTTGGAAGTTGAATGAAAAATCTAGTAACTTGGTTTAAAATATGCTATTTTTTACATAGAAAAATTTTAGTGAAAAATGTAATCACCTAGTATATCATTTCTTATATCATAGTATATCATATCTAGTTCTTAGCTTATGTCTTATTTTTTATTGAGCCTAACTTTCTTAATTGACAATTGAAGATAGTTCCTAAAATGGGTAGTTAGGGGGAAAAAAAACTTTAAAAGCTTTGATTTTATTTTTATTAATTCATTCTACCAATTTAAAAAACAGTATTTTAACTTGGTTTTCTCTGGCCCAATGGAAAGTGTTTGATTTTGAATTTTAATTAAGAACATTCAAAGAGCAGAAGAAATAGACTACTTACGGATTACCAAAATAGATGAATAACAAAGTATAAAAACAATAGAGGTAAAGAATAAGCTAATTTTAAAAACTTTCACATAATTGGTAGTTAGAAGTTAAAAATTTATTCATTAATTCAACAAATAATTATTAGGTACCTCTCACGTACTAGATATATGCTCAGTGTACCATGTTTTGGGAAAGCAGACATAGTCCCTGCTAGATCTAAAAAAATAGGATTTCCTTTAAGAATAATTCAGGTAAATTTTTTTCCTTGGTCTCATGTGTATATATTTTAAAAGTATACATCTATCTCTGTTAATTCATTATTTAAGATAGTGTCATAAACAAGAATAGCTGAAGTTAATATTCAGTAATTAATAACATTTTGTGGGCAGTTTGTTTAAAAATTGGTCTTTTAAAGGTTAAAAGCATACACCTGTGAATAGAAGGTAATTCTACCTCTGTGTATAATTGTAATACCCTAATGCTATAAAATTAGTCAGTCTTTTCTGAAAAAAATTTTTTTGTGAGTATTTAAAAACCCTCTCAGGAGGCAGGAAAGCATAGCAGGAGAGTAGGGGCTCTGATGTCAGACTTTCTGGTTCACATCCCACGTTTCCAATGCAAAGCTCAGTATTTGGATTTATTGAGGAGATTACTTAAACGTAGGATTGAAACTAATCTTATTTAGAATTTCGCAAAGGCGTTTCCAAAATAAGCTTCCTAAGATTATTGCTACGTATCTTTTTAGAGTAACCTTAACACCACAGCTGATTAGCGTACAGTAGAACATTTCACTGAGAAGACCACCAGAGAGGTAATACCTGTGCCTGGTATCTGAGGATTTTTTATTTAGTGTGTACGATTTAGTGATTTGTAATAAGGAGGGGAAGGGAATCCTTCCTCGAGAGATACAAATCAGAATCAGTCTGGTTTCTCTTTGCTCAACAGGTATTTACCATAAAGATGGTGTTCCAGTTTTTTGGGTATTTATTATTAAAAATTAATAATGTGTGGTATTTTAACATTTAAGTTTAAAATTATTTATGAAAATTTAAAGATGTGTTGGAGAGAAAAGAAGTACTAAACTTCAAAATTTCCCCGTGACAAGCTGTACTTTTAATTCACTCAGGACAGAGTTTTGTTTTACTTGCTGGTTTGTTTTAAAAGGAGAAATGTTGATCTGAAAATTGTATATCACTTTCTCTGAAACACTCTCCTAGGATGAGTAATTTGATCTCGTTCAACATGTAGGAAAGTGCCTGTGACACTGTGTTCAGTAAATGTTACCTGTTATTATTATCAAAATCATTATTGTTATACCATTTTCCTCCCATTTTAATATCAACCATAATGTCATACCATTGCCTCTTGTTACAGTTAACAGGTAAACTATTAACAATTTTTAATCTTATAAGCTAAAGTTAATTACATTTATATTCTGCCTCTTTCTGAAAAGAATTTGGAAAAAAGTAAAAAGGAAAGGGACTTCCCTGGCAGTCCAGTGGTTAAGACTCTGCGCGTCCATTGCAGGGGGCATGGGTTTGATCCCTCATTGGGGAGCTAAGATCCCACATGCCACGCGCACAGCCAAAAAAGTAAATAAAAATAAAAAGAATTTGGGGCAGTCCACAGTCATACAGACAAAAAAGCTTGTTAATAAATTAGTAATGACATTCCAAAGTACTAAAGTTTCCTAAAGTGAGTACCAAGTGTAAGTGTATGTATCAAAATTAGTCAGTTTCATAATATTGTTTATGAGACGAAATTAGCATGTGAAAAAAATTCAGGGTGGCAGACAGTTGCATGTTTAGATAATTTATCCCCAAAACAGTTAGTTTTGTTTCAAATTTTTTAGGAACTGATTCTCTAGAAATTAATGAGATTAATCTTCACTAATAGGAGAAGAATGGCGTTGAAACAGATTTCCAGCAACAAGTGCTTTGGGGGATTGCAGAAAGTTTTTGAACATGACAGGTAACTACTAAGAAGATACAATTTTAGATATCTCTAATTCTGCTTCCGCCTATTTGATTCTTTAAATAAGCCCATGAAAGATCTCTGTTGCATGAATTACTCTTTACCTGTAGAAAATACCTGTGATTTTTATCAGCTTTATCTTATCTAGTTTTGATATTGGTGATGGTAATAAACTCTTAGTGATAAAAAGCAAATTAAGGACATGATGCATTTCAGTGCCCATGAACAAACATGTAGTTTAAGAGCTTTAGAATTCATTTTTTATAAAAGCTGATTTATTATTTCATATATCTCTTTAGAAACAGTTTTTCTTTTAATAATTTTAGTGCTGCATTGAGGATGTTACATTTATTCTTTTAATTCAGCCTGCTCAGAATGACTGTGTACCATGCACAGCATAGGCTCAGTTCGGTTAATATCAATAGATCAATATGCTAAATTGGCCTCATTCTTTCTTTAAGGGCTACGGTATATTCCTTAAATGTTGGTGGAATCACTTATTTTGGACATTAAATCACTTATTTTATGTTTCTTTCTTGACTGATGACAATCAGGGCAACTGATTTTTTTTGTATGTATGACTGTTAAAATTACAGTGTTGAACTGAAATGCAAAATGAAATTTGCTATCTATTTACCACCGAAGGCAGAAACTGGAAAATGCCCTGCACTATACTGGCTGTCTGGTAAGTGTTCTGCATTTGAGTTTTATAAAGGAGTTTCTTTTTCTTTTTAACTAGCTAATCTTATTCTTTAATCTTTACTTATTGGTGTGCCTTCTGAACCATTTATAAAAGACTTTAGGAGCCTGTCATAGTCTACTCTTACTTTATCCCAAGAATAATTTCAGACCTACTGAATTACATTTATTATACTTCTTTTTCAATTAGACCAAGTAATTCAGCAGAGAATATAAAGTTCTAGACTCAGTGACAAGAGCTTAGAAAAGTTATTTACTTTGTACCTACTCAAGCGTTTCTTAGAGACTTTACCACTCAAATAGAACAGTATTAGGTAAAACCAGGACACCTGTGATATGCTGATTAGACACCACAGCCAAGAAACTTCTTGCAGTGTTCTCGGAAATATCTTAATTGGACTCACCTTCTCTGGTCACAATCTGGAACATCACAAAAGAATATTAATGCTTCTTAATCAGAGGTGAATGTTGAAGATTCTTGAATGGATTGTGAGAGAGTAATTCTGAACCTCTGTGCTAACTTTTCTTTCACAAGACGTTGGCACTTCATCTTTGGAAGCAGACTTTATAAGAGACTCATAGAAACCAAATTATGTCATAGCGTTCTATTTTTGTTTCTTTAAAATTGCTTCTTATAACTTTGATTTAAATCCTCCCTTATGTATGTTTCCTCAAAGATATGCCCCAAATACCAGTCTTTAAAAATGAGAATAGTATTTCATTTTAAAAGGTAAAAACTAAGTGCCTACCTAGTTTTTTTTTTAACATCTTTATTGGAGTATAATTGCTTTACAATGGTGTGTTAGTTTCTGCTGTATCACAAAGTGAATCAGCTATACGTATACATATATCCCGATATCCCCTCCCTCTTGCATCTCCTTCCCACCCTCCCTATCCCACCCCTCTAGGTGGTCACAAAGCACTGAGCTGATCTCCCTGTGCTATGCGGCTGCTTCCCACTAGCTATCTGTTTTACATTTGGTGGTGTATATATGTCCATGCCACTCTCTCACTTCATCCCAGTTTACCCTTCCCCCTCCCTGTGTCCTCAGATCCATTCTCTACATCTGCGTCTTTATTCCTGTCCTGCCCCTAGGTTCTTCAGAACCATTCTTTTTTTTTTTTTTTTAAAGATTCCATATATATGTGTTAGCATACGGTATTTGTTTTTCTCTTTCTGACTTACTTCACTGACTTTAGGTCCATCCACCTCACTAGAAATAACTCAATTTCGTTTCTTTTTATGGCTGAGTAATATTCCATCGTGTATATGTGCCACATCTTCTTTATCCATTCATCTGTCGATGGACACTTAGGTTGCTTCCATGTCCTGGCTCTTGTATATAGAGCTGCAATGAACATTGTGGTACATGACTCTTTTAGAATTATGGTTTTCTCAGGGTATATGCCCAGTAGTGGGATTGCTGGGTCATATGGTAGTTCTATTTTTAGTTTTTTAAGGAACCTCCATACTGTTCTCCATAGTGGCTGTATCAATTTACATTCCCACCAACAGTGCAGGAGGGTTTCCTTTTCTCCACACCTCTCCAGCATTTATTGTTTGTAGACTTTCTGATGTGCCTATCTAGTTTTAACTCAACAACTAATTTCTTTGATTGGAAAAAGCAAACCAATTTTGCTAGAAGAGCAGGGTATTGCCAAAAGCAACAACACATTACATGTTTGTTTTAGAAACATGGTATTCTGTAGCTAAAGATGCTCTTAGAAATCATGTAACCTGTAGAATAGGAAACTGTTCTGTAGTACCAGGGAAATTATATATTACCCAGGGTCACATAAAAGAGTGAACAAGTTTTCTGATTCATGGTCCAAAGCTGTATTCATTCTTTTCTCCTGTTCTTTTTACCTTTTGTTTCTGGTGAGAGCTACTGCAGTCATATCTCTTGTTAAAAGAATAACACACCATTAGGGTTGTAATAACATTTGTTTAATGCGCCATATTGCCATTCTACAGTTTGAATAATTCTAAATTCCCAAACACACTTGGTCCAAAGGATTTCAGTAATTGAAATTTTAGTGAGTGACTTTCAAAGGACAGCTATGGGAGCATTTAACCTAAGACAGTTCTTGGATTAATACTGTTACGTATTTTATGAGAAGGGAAACTTTCGTGTCTTTTTCAGCATTATTTCTTAAACAAACAAAAAACTTTTTAATAAGTGAGCTTGTTTTCCGTGTTATAAGAAGATTAAAGCTTATAAACTCACAGCATATCATGAGATAACAATATTTTTGATCTTTAGGTTTAACTTGCACAGAACAAAATTTTATATCAAAATCTGGTTATCATCAAGCTGCCTCGGAACATGGCCTTGTCGTCATTGCTCCAGATACCAGCCCTCGTAAGTGTTCTTGTTCCAGAGGTCCTTTGTAAAAATATAAATCTTTAAGACTTAAGTTATAATAATGCACAATTCATTTCATATTTTTGCTATTTATTAATCTTTCAAGCAACATCATGACTCTAAAATACCATGCTGTACATTTTCCTCACTGAATTTTACTCATAACGTCACTCTTATGAGAGGAGACAGTTTTGCTATTCCCATTTTACAGATTAAGACACTAAGGCACTTTAAAACAGAGACTGAGCAACTCAAGTAATAATGTATCACATTGGCACTAGTGCCAAAATAACCTACAATGCATAGGAAATGATTTTTTTATTCCTTGGGTAAACTGCCTTGTCACGTGGTAATTATCTTTTCTCATTTCTGTTAGTCATCAAATAGTCGTACAGTTAAACAAGTATTAGTTTTAATATAAATGATTATAATGTTTACATTAGAGAAATGAGAATATCAAATATTTGAGAATTCAATCCATCAGATAGTTGAAACTTGTTTTGGGACCCTAGAAGAGTCAGGAAATGGAATTTAAATGGTAGCTAAAATTATCTGGAAGTTGAATGGCTGGCCTTGAAAGTAATGCATTTCCTTTCACAATCCATATTATGTAAAAGTAAGACGTGTCACAGGAAATGTAATAAAATGTTTAATTCAGAAGAGCATCAAAAATATAAAATGCCTTGGAATAAACTTTTAAAGTATGAAAATTTATTTTTTAAAAAAACATAAAATTTCCTAACTGTTGTAAGTGGAAGAATGTCATGTTCCTGGATGGGTAGACTGACTATTATGAAGAGGTCATTTCCATCAAATTACGTATCACTATAATTTTATTCAGAATCCCAGTGGTTGGCTTTTTAACTGTATGCAAGGATATAAAATAAAACATAATTAGTTAGAATATAAGAAAATCCCATTGGGGGATGGGTAAATAGGGGAAACATGATGGAATGATTCCCAAGTACATAAGGAGACATCTTCAGTTCAAAATAGTGAATTGAGCACAAGCATTTGTTCCCCTTCCCTTCTAAGATCACAGTGGTACAGAGAAGTAAAGAAGTGTTGATAATGAGGAGGGGCATCAGAGAAGGAATCTTAACGCATTTCTGAAAGATAAAAAGAGAGTATAAGCCCTTTGACAGGTAAAACAGAGTGAGGAAAGATATGTTCAGAATACACAGGAGGGAGCTTCATCAGTGAAGAAAGCCAGTGAATACCCCAGCCTGGAGGGCCATTCCCTCTCTTGCCTTATTGGCTAGAACTAGTCACATGACCCCACTCAAGGGGGCAAGGAAGTATGTGCCCCAAAACGCAGAGAGCCCACAATACTTGGTGAACAGCTCTAATGCAAGTGAAATTTCAGGTTCATTTTAAAGTGTGTTATTAAACATGGGCCATTACTACAGAGTAGATGAAACCACAAGATTTTTCCTTAATAGGTGGCTGCAATATTAAAGGAGAGGATGAGACCTGGGACTTCGGCACTGGGGCTGGATTTTATGTGGATGCTACTGAAGATCCTTGGAAAACTAACTACAGAATGTACTCGTATGTGACGGAGGAGGTAATTTAATTTACAGTGTAATTATTAGTTGATGACTGCCAAAAGTTTCATTTGGGACACAGAGTCCTTCCAGTCCCGAGAATTTTAAACTAGGGTATGGTATTGTTGAATCTATTGGGTACATATTTATTAATTATCTTGGTAAAAATTCCAAAGTTTACAAGTACTATAGTACTATTTTCTGCAATTTAAATGAACACTAAGTACAATTTTTTTTTTTTTTTTTTTTTTTTTTTTTTTTTTGCGGTACACGGGCCTCTCACTATTGTGGCCTCTCCCGTTGTGGAGCACAGGCTCCGGACGCGCAGGCTCAGCGGCCATGGCTCACGGGCCCAGCCGCTCGGCGGCACGTGGGATCTTCCCGGACCGGGGCACGAACCCGTGTCCCCTGCATCGGCAGGCGGACTCTCAACCACTGCGCCACCAGGGAAGCCCACTAAGTACAATTTTGAAGAGTTTAATAATTATATTGACAACTGTGTACACTACCCAGGTTATACAAAGAAAACAGTATATGAAAAAACTGTATTTTCTGGCAGCTGGTTCATCCAGACATATTTCATAGTGATTAAAATCAAAAAGGATAAGTGGTAAAGCATTGCTTCCATTAATAATATGTGTGTGCAGTTTATGCATTTTTCTGTGATTTTAATTGTTAATGTGCACATCATAGAAACTCAGAAACGATAATATAAAATTTTAATCACCCATAATTCTGTCACCCCAAACAACTATATTTTCGTATATTCCAGACATTTTTTTATGACTAGTTTTCATATAAAAGTAAAACATTTTTATCTTGTTCTTTTTTTAGTTATATAAAGTAAATATTTTCTAATATTCTGATCTATTTGTAACATAATTTTAATAATTGTATAATATTCTGTCATATGCTGTGATTTACTTTTTTCTAATGGAGGCTATTTATATATTTACATATTTTTTTTACCATAATATGTATTACTGCATTGATTATCTTTGTTTATAATTTTTTACCCATAAGGACTTTTCCCTTAGAAGAGATTCCAGGAAGTGAAATGACTAGATCAAAAGTTTGCATTTTAAAGTTTCTTTCTGCATTATCTTCTTAAAGTTGCTTTCTAAGGAAGATGTAACATATATTCTCCAGTGATATATTAATGATCATTGTCTATCTGACTTTTTTTTTTAATCTTTACTAGTGTGAACCATTTTAAGACTGTGAATTTGGAAGTATTGATTATTTTAGATGACTTTGAAAAGTCTAAATTTATTTGTCATATCTCTTGTCCCACTATTAAATTCTCTCTAGCTTCCACAACTCATCAATACCAATTTTCCAGTGGATCCCCAAAGGATGTCTATTTTTGGCCACTCCATGGGGGGCCATGGAGCTCTGATTTGTGCTTTGAAGAATCCTGGAAAATACAAAGTAAGATTACCTAAGCTTCTAGTGACAGATATTTCTCGTGAATAGTATAATATTAGGAACTTTCAAAGACTGAAATTAAGATACTGTTGTTTTAGTATTGGGACTAAACTTTTCTAGTCTTGGGAATTTCAAGGGGTTTGTGGGGAAAGAGCATTAAATTTGACCACACAATACATGCTACAGAATCAGAAGTATAGGAATTTTATCCCAGTGGTTTCTCATTGGTCTATTAGAGGTATTATAAAGCAGTTTTCATTGCTTCTATTCAAACTATAGTTTTCTAGGCTTTTTTTCCCTAAAAGTTATTATTGATTAATGTTATTGTGACAGTATGTTATCATTTACTTTTACCGGGAATATTCTTGTAAAGTTGACTTTGATTTTCCACTGTTTTAAGTGGAAAAAATGAGTAGAAACGCTGAACATAAACTTTCATTTGTGCCTTATTTAATGAAAATGTAGCTCTTTTAATAGAACACACAAAGGATGTGGTATCTTGGAGAGGCATATAATCTAAGCCCATAATATAGCAAAAGGAAAACTGTTCACAGGGATTTTCATGGCAAGTCAGAGTTTTTAAGCAAGTTGTAAATACCTGTTCATATTCAGTTTAGCAAAATAAAACTTGTTTTTAATTTTTTTGTTTGTTTGTTTCTGAAGTCTGTGTCAGCCTTTGCTCCAATTTGCAACCCAGTGCTCTGTCCTTGGGGCAAAAAAGCCTTTACTGGATATTTGGGAACAGATCAAAGTAAATGGGAGGTAGGTACTGGATGGCGGTCTTCATACTCATTCTTAAGTTTTCAAATTGGTTAAAAAGCTACACACTACAGACGTTATATTCTTAACTTACTCAAGTTAAGGATTCAGAGCAAAAAATAATTAACTAAAGTGTATACATATAACAACAACAACAGAACAATATTTCAATTGCATTGAATTATGGCAGATATTCTGCGGCTACACTTTTTTTCTGCTAATGATTCATTTATATGTTTATTTTCTAAATTAACATTACAAAAAATACCCCATGTTACTAAATTTAGACTTACCTCATATTAACCGTGTGCTTAATTGTATGATAAGAGCTACGAGGCCTGGCTTTTTATTTTGTGTATCTGTTTCAAAGTCTAGCATCTCTCAGATTGGATTTTAAATTCTAGACTTAAAAGCTTTTAAAAATAGATATTGTATATGTAATATACATTTATGAGAATATTTCCAACAGTATGATTGCTTTTTCAAGCATAGGAGCAGATGCTTCTAAATGAAAATAAAAATGGTAAAAATGGCCCTTTTTTCCTGAGACTGATTTGCTCTTGTACAGAAATGGGCTATTTGAAAACTCCACCAAGAGTTTGAATATTTTGCAGGTGAACTCATCATCATGTGCATGTTAGAAAGTAGAAAATCATCAAGTGGGAAAAAAAACTTTTTTGTCTTATTGCTGTTTATTCAAAGTCATTTACACATGGACCCCTATTTTATTTAAGATTGGTCATTGAAATTCTGACAAATTGGAAGGTTAATCTTTTAGTCATTAGAGTTTTGTTTTTAGGCTTAGATTTTTATTATATTGGAAGAATGCTGAAAATTATTACTATTAGTTACTTTGGGGACAGTGCATTGACAGTGCTTGTGCCTCAGTGTTTTGAGTCCTCACCATGTGCAGAGTTTGTGTGGGGTTTTGAGATCTTATGTCAAGAAGGTGATGACCCTTTCCTGTCCACAGGGGCCTTATGGTCTAATAGAAGTTTTGAGTAAAAGACCAACTGATTGGGAGAAGTAGGGGAGAGGTACCCTATAAAGGAATCTGTATCATTTTTCTCCAAATGGCAGTAGATTTTACTATTTTAATTATGCAGTGTTTAGGCTATCATTTAATTTACTCTTGGAATAAGGAGGCCATGCAGAATTATGAAATCGTGGAACTTAGAACTAGTTGGGCTTTATAGGTGTCCTTCCACCCTCTCCTTTTAAGATTAAAAAAAGCAAGTCTTAAAAAGCATGCTACTTTAGAAGGGGAAATCTTTTGGTTTTTGTGTGTCTTGATCAATGCATAAAAGTTGTCATTAGTGAATATACATGAATAATCAATATTTAAAGATGGATGGTAAAATAGAAACTTGTAACTAGCGGCAGCTCCTCACATAATAAATTTGAGTTGTTGATATGATTCAGATTGTTCAAATCTAGTCTTCCTGAAAGTTCCTGGAGATAGACATTTGGTGCCGTTCAGCAGATAGCAAAAGAGGGATTTATGTCTGGAATTAGTCAAAAATAGGGACAAAAAATAGACTATTTATTTGAAATAGAGAATATTTGGAAATAGAAAAAGATAATGGAGTTAGAAGAAATAGTCAATTTGTAAAAGGATTTACAAAGAAAACAAATTGGTTTTCTTGGAGTTGAGAGGTGATTAAACCTTAAGGGTTTGGAAGAAAAAAGGCTGTATACTATGAAGAATACTTGAGATATAGAATTCTTGCTGTTGGTCTAGGACTGGTTGAAAGTAGGGAAGAAGCTGTAACTGAGGATAGAATTCTGAAGGGCTGTAAATGAAAACCAGACAAGCTAACTTAAAAGCATATTTTCAATTTAATCAGCCTTAGAGCTGAAATGACTTTAAATTTCTATTCAGTTCTAGTATAGGGTATTCTGCAGAATATCTTTCTGGGCACTTTCAAATTTATTTTTCATTATTTCTCCCCTTTTTATAGGCTTATGATGCTACCCATCTTGTGAAGGCCTGCCCAGGTACTCAGCTGGATATACTAATTGATCAAGGAAAAGATGACCAGTTCCTTTCAGATGGACAGCTACTACCTGATAACTTCATAGCTGCCTGTACAGAAAAGAAAATCCCTGTTGTTTTCAGATTACAAGAGGCAAGTACTAGGAAACCTTAACTTGTTCTAAATTAACTATAAAAAAAACAAGATTCCATAGTACTTTCTTAATTTTATTTTAGAATTTGAAAAGCTACCTCTAGTAAGGTATTTTTTAATTATAATAAGACATTTAAAGTGAAAGCCTTCCTATTAAGTTACTGATATCTAAGACCAAATTCCATAGAAATAGGAAAGGTTTTGACAGTGAAAAGTATTTACAATTTTCTGTCCCACTGTAAAATCAGTAAATAACATGAATTTAACGCTTGAATAGTACTTAATTGTCAAAATTATCGGGTATATCTTTCTTGACACATGCGACTATTGTTGCAGTAAAATAAAAGGACAAGCTTCCACCTTCGTTACTCTTCATTACTCTTGAGTTAGGTGCTAATCTATTTGTTGTGCTACTTGCTAGTTGTTTGAGAACAATTACTGAATTTCAGTTGGTTCGCAAATTTTCCTTGACTAAAATACTTTTGACTATTTACTACTCACCTAACTCTATGCTAATACAGCTATAATTAAAGAAATTCAACCTTTATTTTTTTTAAATTATGTATTCATAAGCTTCAGAACATAATAAAAACAAAATTTTTATTTCAGGATGAAAAGTGAATACTGAAAATTATACATGGTTGTGTTTTTTTAAACATCTTTATTCGTGTTTAAGGGTAATATGTCAGGCACATTGATCTAAAACATATAATGATAAGTGTTCAGATAAATCTAGATCAATGTGTAATGTGGTATATTTCAGTTTACAAAAATGTTTTCACAGCATTAGCTCATTTTAACCTTATATGACCAGATGAGAGACCATTCCTAGCCTATCCACCTGTTTGGGTTTTTTTCAACTTTTTTTTTTGTTGTGGTAAAATACCACAATACCACATAAAATTTACCACCTTAACTATTTTTAAGTGAACACTTCAGTGGTATTAAATACATTCATAATGTCATACAGCTATCACCACCATTCATCTCCATGATTCTTTTCATCTTGTAAAATTGAAACTCTGTTCCCATTAAATACCAACTCCCCATTTCTCCCTGCCCCGAGCCCTTGGCAACCACCATGTTACTTTCTGTCTCTCTTACTACTCTGAGGATCTCATATAAGTGGAATCATACAGTGTTTGTCTTTTTGTGACTAGCTTATTTCACGTAGCACAGTCCTCTTAAGGTTCATCTGTGTCTCATGTGCCAGAATTTCCTTCCTTTTTAAGGCTCTTCATCGTGTGCATATACCAAATTTTGCTTATCCGTTCGTCTGTCAGTGGACCCCTTAAGTTGCTTCCAAGTCTTAGCTATTATGAATAATGCTGCTATAAACATGGGTGTACAAATACCTCTCAGGATTCTGCTTTTAGTTCTTTCGGTTGTATACCCAGAAGTGGGATTGCTGGGTCATATGGTAGTTCTATTCTTAGTTGTTTGAGGGACCTCCCTACTGTTCTCCAGAGCGGCTGCACCACTTTGCAGTCCCACCAGCAGTGCACAAGGGTTCCAGTTTCTGCACCTCCTCCCCAACACATCTTTTCTCTTCTTTTTTTTTTTCCTGGATAGTAGCCATCCCGGTGGCTGTGAGGTGGTAATGTGGTTTTGATTTAAATTTCCCTAATGATTACTGATGTTGAGCATCTTTCCGTGCTTATTGGCCATTTGTATATCTTTTGAGAAATGTCTCTTCCAGTCCTTTGCCCATTTTTTCATTGGGTTGCTTTTTGTATTGAATGCTATTTGTATTGAGTTTTATGAGTTCTTTGTGTATTGTGGATGCTAATCCCTTATCAGATAAATGATTTGCAGATATTTTTCTCCCATTCTGTGGGTTACCTTTTTACCCTGTTGATGTTGTATTTTGATGCACAAAATATTTTAATGTTCACGAAGTCCAATTTGACTATGTTTTATTTTGTTGCATGTCCCTTTGGTGTCGTATCCAAGACATCACTGCCAAGTCCATTGTCATGAAGCTTTTGTTCTATGTTTTCTTCTAAGAGTTTTATAGTTAGCTTATAGCTTTAGGACCTACATTTAGTCTTTAATCCAATTTGAGTTAATTTTTGAATATGGTGTTAGGTAAGGATTCAACTTCATTTTTTTGCACGTGGATTCCAGCATCATTTGTTGAAAAAACTATCCTTTTGCCATTGAATGGCTTAACACTTTTGTCAAAAATCATTTGACCATATATTCCAGGGTTTATTCATGGGCTCTCTATTCTATTCCATTGGTCTATATGTCTGTCTTTATACCAGTTACCACACTTTTTGATTACTGTAGCTTTGTAGAAAAATTTGAAATCTGGAAGCATGAGTTCTCAGGTTTTTTTCTTCTTTTTCCAAGATTGTTTTGGCTCTTTGGGCTCCCTTGAGATTCCACTTGAATTTTAGGATGGTTTTTCCTGTTGCTGCAAAAATTGCCTTTGGAATTTTGATAGGGATTGCATTGAATCTGTACATTGCTTTGGGTAGTCTTGACACCTTAACAGACCATGAACATGGGATGTGTTTCCATTTATTGTGTCTTCTTTAATTTCTTTCAGCAGTGATTTATTCACTGTACAAGTAGCTCATCTTCTTGGTTAATTCCTAAGTATTGTATTCTTTCTGATGCTGTTGTAAATGGAGTTGTTTTCATAATTTTCTTTTCAGATTGTTCATTTTTAGAATATAGAAATGCAACTGATTTTTGTGTTTGACTTTTTATCCTGCTACTTTTGCTGAATTATTAGCTCTAACAGTTCAGGGTTTTCTACATACAAGATCATATTATTTATGGACAGAGATAATTTTACCTCTTCCTTTCCAATTTGGATGCCTTTATTTCTTTTTCTTGCAAATTGCTCTGGCTAGAACTGCCAGTACTATGTTGAATAGAAGTGATAAAAGTGGGCATCCTGTCTTATTCCTGATCTTAGAGGAAAAGCTTTCAGTATTTTACCATTAAGTATGACATTTGCTATGGGTTTTCATGCATGACTCCTGGCCATCTGTTTTACAGATGAGGAGACAAGCTCAGAAAAGTAACCTACTTATCTAAGGTCACACAGCTAGTTTATGGTGGAACCAGGCCTGGAAGCAAGGTCGTCTGATTGCAAATACTATCCTCCTTTCATCTGTCTAACCATTCCAAAGCAAGGCAAAGCAGTACTCCTGAAGAGCCAAGGGATGGAATTAGAGCTAACGTAGGGGACGCTGTGCATAAGCTGCTACTTGTCTAACTCATGCAGCAGATCTTAGCAACCTCCCTGATGTCCTTTTAATCTCCTTGATATTTCTAACATGTAAACAATATATATATCATGTGGGAAAATATGTCCAAAACCAATACATTAGGTATACCTTGTTTGTGGGTATCCATCACATAGAAATAGATTTTTTTAGATTAATTTGAACATTTATCATCAGAATTACATGTTTTAGATCAATAATCAACCTTGATAAATTTGATTATAAACATAATAGTATGTTTATATTAACTATTACTCTAAGTGATGTGACAAAGCAGGTTTTTTCCAAATGACGTTAACTCCTTGGCTCTAGTGGTGTTGTTGCCTCTTCTGCTTCCCTTGTGTCTGTGCCAGGAAATTTCATTGTTACCACCAACAACCAAGTTTCATCCTGCCAACAAAGACTGAAAAATCTCTAGAGTTTGTTATAAAAACAACAGAGTTAAAACACTGATGAAATTCTTGGGGGCAGAAAATAAATCAACTTATTTCTAAAATGACTAAATCCCAAGCAACTGAAAAACGTAGTTGTCTGTACTTAATGAAGAGTCAGTACAAAGCATTCAATTCTTTAAAAAAAAAAAAAAAAGTGAGAAAGTATTGAAATCATCAGTCACAGTTTTTAGCTCAGGCACAATTTTCTGTTCACTTTCCTTCCAGCATGGACAGGTTAAAAGTGAACTACACAGTCTCAAGCAGATTATGTTTAGGGTTGTTGTAATTGAATGAGCGACTGAACGGACATACCTGGGCACTGGCTCCAGGGAAGCAACTTTTCAGATTTTCAAGCCAACTTCCGTTGACTTCAGATTACCTCAGGTCTGAGGGCACTTGGTTATAAGTACAGTTGATCTGTATTTCTTTATGAAGTGGGAGCTGTGAAGGATTAAATAAGCTGAAAATAATAGTGGGTAATATAAATGAGTGATCTAGGGAGGAAGAAAAAATTATTGCAATCATGTACATGGTTTACGCAACTTCATTCATTTTCCTCTTTTCAATGGTGTTAAATGCTCACAATCTACATTTCTATCAACTGTCAAAAAAAATTGAGGGGGAAGTGTAGTCTATAGGGATATTAATTTGGTTTTTATTATACTTCATAATTTTTTCTTTTTCTATTTTCACTTCAGTGAATCTAAATTGAAAATGCACAAGGTAGCAGAATTCTGATAGCCAATATACACAGATCAAGTCTTAGTCTGAAGAGGAAAGGCCTAGTATGTCTTATTATCAGTTATTGGAGTAATATAGTGAAGAAACATTTTCAGTTTCAGACCTAATGGAAACTTCCAGAAACCAACACTGAAGCAAGGCTATAGTAACTTCTCAAGTCTCAGGCCCTTTTTGAAGATTCAGAGGTTGTTTTGGCCTCTGTGCCTGCCTGTTAGAGAAGAGTGTAAACATGGCACAGAATTCTAGAAGTGCAGGGCTCTCTCACTCATCTGTATCGCCATGCTTAGCACAATTACCTGGCACATAAACCCTCAGGAAGTGCTTATTGAATAAACAAAAGAGCAGCTTTCAGCCGTCTTCTTCTTTGTACTCTGAAGAGACTTCATAACTCGGGAATTCATATCTGAGCTTTGCTAATTGGGTCTGGAAAATATGTAGGAAAATACTGCCTGTTAGAATAAATGTTCATCATAGCCGCTGAAGCACTGCTGCTTTTTTTGAGAACTGAGCAAAGAATAAAAGAATGAGTTTGTTTATTTTTATACTCTAGGAGTTTGCTACCAAGGATTTTTCCATTTCAAGTGTGAGGTAGAAGAGGAAAGGAAGGCCCTTTCAAGTGTCACTAAATGAACGTAGTTACACAAGCTGCTTAACATACAAACCAATTCAAAGAATTCAATGAAGGGAGCTACCCCCATTTAATAATATTGACCAGCAGAGCTTGAAACTCATCAAGAATGACACAGTCAGCTCTAATTATATAAACGTCTTGTATCTACCAGAATGGCAGTAATTCAAATGTATTCTCTTGCCTTTATGTTGATATTTTAAAAAATCTTTCTTGGTCCCTCATGACAGGCATTTTCTGTTTTCTCATGAAGGTAGACCTTCAGTTAAATATCATTGTGGAAGGACATTTGCTTTGTATTTTAGGTGAAATACACTGCTATCCTGCAATACACCCCTGAGAGCTCAAAATTGTCACTTTGGTTTACTCTGGGACTTCTCTAATAAAATAATAATAATAATAAATAATAACAATAATAATAGTGGCTACCCACTATGTGCCTGAAACTGCAACACACTGAACATATGTGCGACTAAACATGAAAATACAGCATAGTCAGTCGCGTTAGAACCTCTGTTAACAAGTGTTTCGAGGCATCTACACCTGTTTTCAGTCAGATCCATCTTATCATCGGTGAAAAATGGCGGGTACTCGGTACTATATTTCACAGGTTCTGTGGCCTGAAAATCATGGGCATATTTAGCCTCTTAACAACTCAAGAATTCCATGGTGGAAAATGCTTTTCTTTAACTTTCTTTATGTAAGAAACTGTCCTTCAGCTCTAAATTTAACTAATTTAACTGGGACTGGTCTGATCGTCGAGAGACGTGAAACCAAATAGTTCCAAGGCTCAGCCTTAATTTTGACAACATTCATGTGAGATTCACTTCCACAGTTTGGGCACTGAAAATAGAAGACAGGTTGCTTTTAAGTTACTTTGATGATTTTAAACTAGAACTCTTTATTAACTGCTGTTCCCAAGATATGCACTGCATACCCCTGCCAACTAAGAGGTAGAGAACATTTACTGATTCATCAAAACCTTAGGGACTTTACCTTGTTCCCTGAAACCCAGGTGATATTTTTATTAGGTTTTTTTTGTTTCTGAAGTGCTTAGAAAGATTCCATTTTCCTCCCATCAGAGACCATCTGCTCGATCTTAGACTTTCATCTTTCTCAGATTATTCTATTTTGTATTTTAATTGTGTTTTGGCAAAGTAAGGGCTGTCCCCCAAATTATCTGGTTTTTAACTCTTTGATTCTTCCCACCCTATTTTTCTTTTCTTTTTCCTTTGAGAGCTACTTATTTTGTACTCAGAGGACACTCCGAGAAAGGATTGCCTCTCCATTTACCATTGATTACCTATCAAGGATTTTATTTGACCAGATAGAAATCTGTTTCAACTCAACTACTTGGCACATTTTCTCTCTGCTTCATGGTAGTTTTCAAAAGTTTACTGACTTTTTACCCAGTTTGATTTATTGCTGAGGGATGTCAGAGTGTAATGAATTATTCCTTTTTCCTCAGATAAAGGTACAATATGCTTTTACCGTGCAGGAGGTCGAATTCTTAACGTGATTTATGATGGCTGTGTTTAACTTCCCGGTGATAGGGCATTTGGGCGTTCTTCATGTTCTTTCTGTATTGTTTACGTGTGCTTATTTTGTATCTTAACATTCCCTTATTGAGGGTGGTGCATTGCTTTTGTGAGTTGAAACTTTTTTCAACTACTCTTTTTTCAGTGAAAATGTTGAAGTACAAGTGTAATAAGCTTTACTTTGATTATAAACCTTCCACATGTTGTGATAGTTTGATTATTTATAAGCAAATTAAGTGACATGCAAGATATATTTAATGTACCTAATATCGATTTTTCTGAATAGTAGATAAATGTCTTATCTCTATTTTGTCTTCTAGGGTTATGATCATAGCTACTACTTCATTGCAACCTTTATTACCGATCACATCAGACATCATGCAAAATACCTGAATGCTTGAAAAGCTTCGGATAAGAGAATCTCTTCAGGATGATAAAACTGTAATAGACTGGCAAGGAAAAAAGATTTTAAAACATTGGATTTTGTAGTGCCAAAAATGCTTCATTCTGTAGTTGAATCACCCTCTAAATAAATATATCAAACCTGCTTCTGATTTAAAAAGTTACCTTACCAGTGTTCACATGGGAAATATTTAATACTTCACAGTTTTCTCGAGGTAATTTGGAAATCATTGTTCTGTTGACCTCAGGACACAGAATATGAATATAATCCCATTGAAATCATTAAATGCTAACTCTGGAACAGAGAGTTTAAAGGTAGTTTAGCCTAAACTCCTCACCTTTCCAGACTTTAAGCCTCTGAAGGCGTGGCCTGTCTTCTTCCTGTTCATTGTTACACACCTAGTGTCTAGCAGCCACTTGGCGCGCTTCTAGTAGTCATTGAATTGAATAACTATTTGTTAGTTGTTGAATAAGCAAGTAGGGTCAGAAAGGTTAAATGAATTCCCCATCATTACACAGTTATTTGTGCAAGAACTAAGATTAGAAGTCATATTTCCGGAGCCCAATCAATGATATTTCTTTTCTTACCTGTTGAGTCAAATAGATTTGTGGACATTGGTTTATGGACCTCTCTCAAGAGACAGGAATTAAATACCAGATTCAATCTGAAATAGTTAGATAAGGAAACTTGTTTCATATGTTACTGTAGAAGATATTTTCCTTTAGTTACATGCAGAAATTTAGCTTGATGAGCTTGCCAAGAACTCGTAAATACCAAAGTGTGTTCCTTAAAAACTTAAATGGACACTCCCAATGACCAGGGAATGAACCTGGGACCTCAGCAGTGAAAGCACCGTGTCCTAATCACTGGACCGCCAGGGAAGTCCCCTGGTTGTTTTAAAAGAAATATATTTTTCTGTTAAAAGAGCACAAAAGTTATACATTTTAAACATTCAATAAGAATGTGTATTACATGGTAATTGAGGAAGACATCAGGTTCTTAAAGTTATAAAATAAGTACTATGTAAATGTGAATTAGTACTAAAATTTTTTAATTCGTACTATTTAAATTATCAGTAGTCAAGGGACTTCCCTGATGGTCCAGTGGTTAAGACTCTGCGCTCCCAATACAGGGGAGCCAGGTTCCATCCCTGGTCAGGGAACTAGAGCCCACGTGCCACAACTAGAAGACCCTGGACGCGGCAACGAAGATCCCGCGTGCTGCAACTAAGACCAACTAAATAAATATTAAAAAATAAAAATAAATATTGGTCAAGATTGAGCCCTACAGTGAGCTGCACACAAAATGGTTCTAAGTCTAAACAGACTTGTGTCCTCTAACAAGACAAATTTTTTAATTCACAAATTTTTTGCACGTTGTTGGTAATTCCTTTGTAAAGAAAAACAGTCGTGTGATCCTATGATCTTTGTATTAGTTGAGGATTTAACCAAAGAAACAGAACTAGTAGTAGATATGTACGTTAAGAGATTTTTTTACAGGGACTTGGCTTATGTGATTGTAAGGGCTGGCTAAGCAAGTCCAAAATCCAAAAGACAGGCCATCAGGAAGGGAAGCCCAAGAGCGGGATGAGACTCTGTGGGCTGGGCGGAAGCTGTTGTCCACAGGTGGAACTTGTCTCTCTGCCTCATTCAGTCTTGCTTTTAAGGCCTTCTAACAGTAAGGCCCGCCAGATTATCCAGGATAATCTTCCTTATTTAAATTCAGTTGATTAGGGACTTTGATCATATCTGCAAAATCCCTTCATAGTAACACCTAGATTAGTGTTTAATTGAATAACTGGGAACTATTACCTTGCCAAGTTGGCGCACCATCATAAGAAAAGAGTTGCTTTGCCTTTTTGCAGGGTAAATGCAGAAACATTTAAATACTCAGTAAATAATTGCTAACATATAGCCAATGATAACTAATAAAGACAAAAGCCTTCAGTTACAATACAGAATTGACCATGGAGGAGATATAGGGAGCCAATAAATTTTAACTTGCTTTTATGTGCCACAAATACTGACCTGGGGAGGTATGAATTCTCATATATACCTGTAAGATGTTTCCCCCACCAAAAAAAATTCTCAGTCTCTCACATAATAAGGAACCATCTCAATGACTTTATAATAAACAACAAATAACCTACAAATGAACTCCTAATACTAGTTTTGTTTGCTTCCAAAAGTCACCTGACAGAATCAGATAAAAAAAGAGGCAAAGGAATTGACAGATTTCCTGGATCACTATAAATGTTGTAAAACCCTCATTAAGATCCCCTTAAGAAACAATACGATACAGTAAAGCCACCATTACTAGTAGCGGCAAGCCATGAAGTGGGTGGAGGTGCTTACAATATAGGTATCTGAAAGAACTTGTATCTAGAATATATAAAGAACTCCATAAATTCATTTTTTAAAAGATAAACCAACAGAAGAATGGGCAAAAGATTCTAGGTACTTAACAAAATAGGACATAAGTATGACTAATAAATACATGAAAATGTGCTTAACTTCATAGGATCAGGGAAATGGAAACAAAAAAATGCTACTACAAAACCTACCTGAATGGCTAAAGTTAAGACAACAGAAATCCCAAGTGTTGGCCTGGCTGTACGATGACCTGCTAATGGGAGTGTAACAGGCAGGGTTTGCTGAGATCGAACATATGGCCCTTCCTAATGATTCCACCCGAGGCTTACCCAACAGAAACGTGTATGTAAAACCTACATGACAATGTTCAGAGCAACACTGCTCCTAATAGCCCGAATCTGGAAACAACCCAAATGCCCATCTACAAGAGGATGGGTAAAATCAGAGTATTCATACAGTGGAATAGTCCACATTAATGAACACACTAAAACTAGATGCAGCAACACGGAGGACGACTCAAACACAATCTCGAGTGGAAGAATCAAATACAAAACATAAACTGTATAAATCATTTTGTACCATTTCATATAAGGATCCAAGCCAGGCAAAACTCATCCATGATGTTAGAAGTCAGGATGGGGTTATGGATAGCAGGGGGAGGGGCGGGCCCTAGGCAGAGGTGATTAGAGAGTCGCATGCAAGGTCCTTTAGGGGACTAGTGACACTCTCTTCATCTAGGTACTGGTTGCATGGGTGTGTTCACTTTGAAAATTCATCAAGCCATATACTTAAGATTTATACACTTTTTCATATGTGTTATACTTTAGAGAAGTTTATGTTAAAAATCTATTAAGTAATCATGATGTGGAGATCATAGATATACTACTGCATGAAGACGAAAAAATTCCTGACGTTATACCAGGATGCTTATTTGAGAGGATACAGTTTCCAGTGGCCACATCATTTATAGATTCAAGTAATGTTGTATCTCACTTAGAAACCACTTAGATGTGAAGGTGATGCATGATGGCTTGTGAGTTCTCTAATTTTGAAGATGCAAGAGTCTGGTTAAAATTATTTCTTGAAAACTTACAGCGGAAAAATTCCAAGCTGATGTTTTAAAAATATTTTTAATATGTGTCATACTAAGCTGTGAAAAATAGACACGAATTTTGTATTGAAGTGTTCATAAACATATTTCAAATTAGCCAAACAACTTTTTTTGCATATTCCCATCAGAAAAATGCAGGCTTCCTCCTGTTCAAGGTTGTCTTGTATTTGGCCACGTTGGACATACACGTTGGATGATAGTCAAAGTGGGTTTACTTTTGATGGATGAGATCATTTTCACAAACAAGTTATTTATGTATATTTTGAGTTGTAACACATGAATTTTAAACATTAATGTTTAATAAATGTTGAAAGCCAAGAAGATAAAACAGTGCTTACACCAATCTGTGTCAACATTTTTGTGCTTCTTACTTTCTTTACAGTCTTGAGAATTTGTTATGATTCAAAAACACTCTTTAAAAAAAGAATTATTATAACGATACTTGCAGAAGGAGAAAACCTGATATGTGTCTTTCCTCCGTAGGTACCTTGGGCAGCTTATCAGTTATTTCATCCTTATCAGGCTGATTCCTCATCTGAAAATGGCGTAGACAAGAGCCCCTTCACCCTCTAACTGACAGGACCGTGGAGCATAGCAAGATGCCCGTATGAAATCACTCTCTTCCTACCCAGATGTTAGTGACCAGTGCTTTAGTGCCAGTGGACTCCACAGCGAGGAGTGCTCAGGAGAGTGCACAAGACTGTGCACGGGAGTGTAACACAGCTTCTGCCTGTGTTAATTTTTATTTCATTCCCTCCTGCTAAGATGTGTATTTTTCGGCATGCTTTATAATATACATAACACTGTGGTATGTTAATACATACAATTATACGGAAATAGTTCATAGGCTGGGGATACATGCGGCAAGTGTGAGACCCCCCAAAGGTCCCTACCACATCTTTGTGTGTAAAAGAAAAGAGTCTGTGAGGACCAACACAGAATATCTGCTGTGCTATTAATTTGTACTTTGCCTGTTCCCAGGCTGCTTGGCTGTAGAAATAAAATATTTTCCTCCAGGAAAACATAGCTCATAAACTTCTTCACATCTTTTAGTAGCCCTGGCCAATCCAGAGAAAATGTCCTTTTGGTCTTCAAAGATAATAAAAGGAATCTAGATCCTTGTAGTGTTTGGCCTGAGTCCAGGACTCCAATCCAAGAGCAATGAATTTCCCATTTCCTTCTCGTCTCTTTGGCACCAGGTGTCAGTCTCCCGCCACTGGTGATGCTTAATGAGTGATAGTAGGGGTGAAGAAGAGAATCCTAGCACTTCCTCTTTGGGATGATAACAGTATGCATTCAACCAGTCAAATAACATTTTCATCTTATTGGGTTTGTTGGACAAATTCAAATATGAATGGAAAATGAGGCTTAGAGGTGAGAACTGAGTGAGACAGGAGACTTTTTTTTTTTTAATTTATCAAGATGGTATTTCAGAAAACTTTCTGAAATCTAGCTAGGGATGTGTCTGTGTGCACGCATGCACGTGTGTTTAACCCCTGCATGCAGAGTTGTAATATTGAGCACAGGTTGTTCAGGTGATGGATTGAAGGTGTATTGCCTTTTTGGTCATTGCTGGATAAACAGGATTGTTATTCTCAAAAGACTAAAACTTAGTCCTTTTGGTTTTCTTCTAAAATCATTTCAGTAAAAACACTGCCACC